TGTATGACCACACATCTATCTCAATATCCTCATTTTTGCTATCCTAACTTTATACTCTGTTTTTCCTTTAACGCCCAACATTCACTACCATATAACATAGCTAGTCTCATAGCAATCCGATAAAATTTTTCTTAAGTTTTTCACGTACCTTCTTGTTACAAATAAGTCTAGTAATCTTTCTTCATTTTAACCAACTAGCTTGTATTCTGTGCGAAATATCACTATCAATTTCACCATCCTCACGTATAATAGATCCTAGATATTTAAATTTTGACACTTAAGAAATGATTTGATCTCACATCTTCACCTCCAAATCACCATGCTCACGTATATCCATCTTGCTTGGACATGACGGGCTAAAGAAACAAAGTACACATATGTACTTCGCTAGAAATTAAGAGCGCCCACACAGAGAGTGTTAAAGCCATGAGCGTGTGATCATTTTAATGACCTTCAATATAAATATCAGATACCACATGAAGCTACTTTTGAAGTATAGATTAATAAGATAACAAAGAGTTCAGGCATATATCGATTATCTCATTAAAGAATGATCAGAGATGAAAGAGATAAGCTGTTGAAAAGGATGAAGCCTGGTCCGAGACAGATCAAAACATGGGATTTGCTGAGAAACCCAGAATTCAAATCCCGAGCCAGGCGATATCCCTATCAACCCCAACCTCCCATAACTTGATTCATTATCTATGACAGCAACATGAAGAAGAAGAAGAAGATGATGGTGATGGAGAAGCAATGAGGAGGGTATATATACACACAACAGCCTTAGAATGCTGAGCTGGCAAAGGAAAGGAAAGGCATATATGCAGTTTCCCACAACAAAAAACACCACCAGACCTTTGCTGTCTGGGAGTTTTATGTGTTTGATGTTTGGTGTGACTCTCTCACACACGCATCTTATCCCTCACAGCGCCCCCAATTGGCGCGCGTGCACTTCACCGTCTTCTTCGACTTCATTCTTCTTTCTTACTTGCAGAGAACCAGTTGCCTTCTTACAGCCTAATTAATCTGTGGGCTGCGCAAACAGTTACATACTACCTCCAGTCCTTACTATTACTATAATACCCAGGTAACTAACATGGGAAGATTAAGAAAGTTACTAAATTACTTTAAAGTATTTATATTTATCATTTTTCTCTAAACTAATTTTGTTCACTTATAAATTAATATATAATTTGATGATACTCATAAATATTTTAGAGAGACCGTGTAACATATACTATAAATAATTTAGTAACTTTCTTAATCTCTTTAAATTAATCAATCAAGTGGTTTATATATTAAGAATTGAAGGTAGTATCAAACAATAATGTGTATATCTTTTCGTGGTATTCAATTTGAGGATCAACACCAAGGGCTTGTTTGGTTTACGAAAAAGTAATAAATTGAGGGAAAAGAAATTATTGGAATAGAGAGTAAAAAAGGTGTTAGATTGTTTTATCACTTAGTAAGAAGATATTATGAAATTTTTGTCATTTAATTTTTATATGAATGATTCTTAATTCATATTTAAATAGGAAAGGAATCCAAAGTTTTAAAATTGTGATAATTTGAAGAGAAACGGCAAAAAAAAAAAAAAACACCAGCAAATGAGCTGGCTGAAATCTGCAATGAAAATTCAATCCACTTTATTTGTAAGTCTCATACAAGGCTGAGTAATGGGCTACTAGTAGAACATATGTATCGGATGAAAATAAGTATGGACTAGCCCGTACTCGTGTGTAGTTCATATTTACCTATTAAAAGATGGGTGGACTAGCCCATAGTACACGTTTAAAACAGGTTAGCCCATTTTTAATCTATAATATTCTTCCATGGAGTAGAAACAAGCTAGCTAAAGTTTAATGTGTAAATTTCATGCAAAATTATAGATTGGGCATTAAATTAGTTGAGGTAGTAATTTAAGGGTTTGTAGCCCAACCAAGATTGACCTGGGAGTAAACAAGCCTAGAACAATTTAATTAAGATATATAAAAATATCCATACTTGATTGTGAATAAAAGTAAATAAAAGATGCAATGTGCTTCCACTTATCTTAGGTTAACTATATTTCAATTTAAAATGTCAATAACAAAACATTATGAAACTTTTATCGTTTAATTTTTATATGAATGATTCTTGATCCATATTTAAAATAGGAAAGAAATCCAAAGTATTAAAATTGTGTTAATTTAAAGAAAAGGACAAAAAAAAAAAAACTATATCGCCAAATGAACTAATTGAACTCTACGTTATGAAAATTCAATCTACCTTATTTCGAGCCAACCCTTTTAAGCCCTTTTAAGTGAAGGGTTGAGCTTGTATTTTAGGTGGTTCAAAAAGAAATTGGGTTCAAAAATAAAAGGCTAACCCGTTAGAGCCAAGGGCCAGTCCTTTTAAGACTACCTATTTTTTATTATTATCAATATATTTATAAAGTTATAAATTAGTCTTTTATGAACAAGTTTGAATTAGAAAAATATTTAGAAGAACCAATACTTAAACCAGACAATTGAAAAGAATTAGTGTCTTGGACTGGTGGAAGAACATATTCTTAGCATCAATTTTTAATTCTTTCAAGAATGACAATTGATATTCTTAGCATTCCAATCACTACAATAGCTAGTAAATCTTCCTTTACCATTGGTTCACGTCTTAACAAAGTGTAAAAATTTTCTTATTCAAACAAATGTTCAGGCTCTCATTTGTACTCATAACTACTGCAAAGTTTAATTTTAGATAGGGGAGATGAAGACACAAACCTTATATTTTTATCACTAAAGAAAAGCTCACTTGTAGTGAAGAAAAATAAAATATTACTGATCTTGATGATACTGATAAAGATGAAGATAAAGATAATAATCATGTTGATGCTATTAATCTTTAACTGCTAGGTTTTTATCTTTCTGTTTTTCCTATTTCATTAGATTTTCATTTTTTTTGTTTTGGACAATAGTTTATATTTAATGTTTTTTTCTATACACCATTAGTTTATTTTACTAATATTTATAATTTAAATAAATTTTTTTAGAAGTTTTGTTGTTTTATTTTTTATTTTAAAAAATTGAAAAGAATTTAAATTTCAAAAAAATAACATAAAAGGGCCAACTTTTTTAACTCCTGAGCCGACATGTCCAAGAGCTAGGTTTTGATAATTAGATCATTTTAAGGTATGCGGGTTTTAAAAGGCTGGCCTTTTTAGGCCCTGGTCCTTTAAAGCCTAGTTGACCCTTATTGACAGTTCTACTTATTTGTATGCCACATACAGGATTGAGCAATGGGTGGGATAACTAACTAGTGTAAGGGCTGCTTGTAGCTCACACACATATATATAGGTAAAAACGAGTAGGGGCTCGCGCATGCCCTTGCAGAGCCCCTTTTTACCTATTGAAAAATGCATTGGGTTGGTTTGTGGTATCGATTAAAATGATACATGTTAACTCATTTTTAATTTATATTATCTTTTCAAGAAGCAAGAATAGATGAGCCAGCTAAAGTCTTTTGTGAAAAATTCAAGGTACTAAAAATTGGGCCTATCATTGAATTAGTCGAAATAGTGGTTTAAGGGAGAATGGTCCCACTGGTTTGGAAACAAATAAGGTAAGAGTTTATTTAGAATGACTTATAAACAACTTTTTAATTTTGATTTATAGAAGACGAAGTAAGTATGTGAGAAGAATTTTGTCTCACCTTACATGAATGTACTTGTAAGTTCTTACAATCGTATCGATACTTTAATTGTGAAAAAAATATATGTTCCCAATTATCTTACGTTATATGTATTCCAATTTAAATTTTTAATAACAGAACATAATGAAATTTTTATCATTTAATTTTTGTATGAATGATTCTTGATTCATATATAAAACAGGAAAGGAATCCAAAGTACTAAATTGTGATAATTTGTAGAAAAGGACAAGAAAAACATGGATTAAGATATAAATTTCTCCCAAAAGTTTTTACTCAAAATTTTTTGGTGTTCAGTAGTTTTTTTAGTATAAATTTGCTCCGAAAGTTTGAAATCATATTAAAAAATAACATTAAGTTTTAAAATAATGACATTAACGGTTAATAATCTCAAGTGTTAACAGTAGAAAGAATTATTGCTACAATTTTAAACTTTTAGAACAATTTTACACCCTAACCCCAAAAAATGTTAGAAATTGGGCGGCCTGAATTCTACAGTAAAAATTCAATACACTTTATTTGTCATTATGAACCTCTCCTCTTCTTTCCCATCCTTTTCTCCCCTTTTCTAATCTTCACCATTAATTACATCTATGGCTATAAAGAACACACTTATTGCAGTAATGTCGTTTTGCTGATGAGTTTTCAAATCACTTGAGGGTCTGTCGGGTACGATGGAATTGAAGTATATTGAATTAGGATTGGAACTGGCTTCTACTTAAAATGTTGGTTTGGTAGGATGGAATTGAAGAGTGTTTCAAGGGATCATACGTTTCACATCCTGTATGTGATGACGACAAGGAAAGCAAGAGGCAACGACACACCGGAGAAGATGATGCAGTCGGCATATCCGAGCTCACCAGAATAAACCCTCATAAGCAACACTTTTTTCCCCATCGATGAACTTATCATAAGCGCGGAAACAAGAACTCGCCTACAGACCTTTCATTACTAAACTTCACCCTCGGGTTCACAGCCATGACCAGCTTTAGTAGCTGGGGCCCACGGTGGCCAACTGTGTCAGCTATTCACACAAGGACAATTTAATTTTTTTACATTATAAATACATATATAAAATAAAAAAACATCATAGTTCCATGTACATATCAAACGTTTTAGAGCTCTCTTTCGTGAGTCCATCTCTATTTCCACCTCCACGTCCAGCATGCCTCCAACTCTCCAAGGAATATTCGTACGCAAATTTTATGAAGGCCTTTCAAGTTGAATGTGAGGAATCCATTTGTCCCTGTCAATTTCTGCACCCAAGATCGGCTCACGCTGGCCCTATACCTATGAATGTGACTTTGATACAAACCTTGAGTGATGATAAGCAATCAAATTTCCCACAAACTGGAAGTGGAAACGGAGTATCAGATACAAAACATTGCCCAGAAAATTGTGGGAAAGCATAATTCCCTCTATTACAGATGCAAATATGGAATTTAGGCAAACAATCAAGAGTTTAGCAGCGAAAAAAAGACACACAAGGTACTCTACAATCATTTTGATCCAAATGCAAATGACAACTTTGGTCGTGATTTTTTTTGCCCAACAGCTTCATTTGGTTTGAACGTTCTTGCTCCTCCTCCTGTCTTCCTTCGCATGGCTTCTTCTTTTTGTCTCTGGAGCTCTTCTAACTCTCTATATCGTTCCTCCTCTCTCCTCTGCTGCTCTAAAGCTTCCCTTCTCTGAGCCTCTTCAACCTTCCTCCGGTTCTCTTCAAGCATCCTTTCAAGCTCTTCCTTCTCTTTCCGAGCTTGCTCCTGCAGGTCAAGTTAAGTTATCCAACTTCCCAGGGGTAAAAAAAACCAGTTTTTTGAATGGACAAATACTTAAAATTGCACGATTATAATAATCTTAATAACATTCCCAAGTAAAAACCAAGGTTAAAAAAAAAAAAGAAGAAAAAAACACCAGCAGCCCTGAACTTCTATCATACCAAAAGAGATCAAAATATTCACGGCCATTACACCAGATCAAAGTATTGAGAATAAGTGAAGTCAATACCTCCTTCCGCCTAGCCTCAATAAGAGCAGCTTCCTTTTCTTTCTCAAGTTGAGCTGCAACTTCATCAACTAGTCTCTTTCTTCCCTCTTCCAACCGTCTTTGAATCTCTACCAAAATTTCTTCAGATTTCAAGCTCTCTTCAACTCTCCTACGAATTGCATCTTCCACTCTCTTGGCAGTCTCTTCTTCAATTAGCTTCAATTCTGCTTCCTGTTGCCGCCTGTGAATACATGATAAAATGTTAAGCGGGAAAGTGGCCACTAAAGTGAGGGAGAATGTTACATATGCAAATCCAATGTCTTTGGTCATGGACAATGGGAAAATAACTTGGACGACTAAAATTGAACAAAAGGATGGACAAAAAAAAAAAACTTGAACAGACATATCTGCTTCATTCTAACCCCTTCTCATCCTTTTCTAACCTACTTACAGAGAACCATAATCATTGGCAAACAAACCTTCATGATGACAAAGGCACTAAAAGATGCTTATGCTTTTAAGTCATACCTCTATTGAATCCTGATCCAAACAATGAGTACCAAACTGGTGAACAGTAGATAAATGAGGCAGCCAATTTGATCATCAAACATAACAAGTTGAATTATAGCAGTACCTTCCTTCAGATAAGCCTGTGAAGAAGACATTCAAGTAACCTGCTGCAGTTTTAAACTAATCACGCAAATACTTCAATTCTTTTACTAACATCTTTGAGATGAAAGAAACTAGTTGAAATACGGCTCAACTTTTATTTTAAATTAGGTCCTAAAACATCTAAGCAATTACAAAAACCATGTTTACCATGGAGGGGGGGGGGGGGAAGAGTGGAAAAATTCTCTAGATCGAAAACTTTGCGTTAAGTCATAATAAATAACTAATGACAAAGTAGCAAATACATGCTAAAAAACTTTCAAACCAAAACCAGCCTGATAAGAACATTGAATTCAGGGACCATCAACCCCATAACATGACGGATAGACTTTCTGAATGGGTCAGGTTAAGCTTTCTAACAAGATGTCGGAGTACAAAATGAATCACAAGTAAAGAAGGACTCGACTCCTTGCCACTGCCTCCTTTCTTCTACTTAATAACATTTATATATGTTCATTAAATTTCATGAGATCTGTCTTAATTGTAAAGAAAAAGTGACACCCTTCGGCTAGTACCTTAAAAGTGATGGATAAAACAAGTGATCACATTTCACGAGAATACAAAGCCAAAGACATGAACGAATTTTAAGATTAATTACTGAATAACTTTGGAATTTCCTTGGACTCAAAGAAGATCTATGAGGTTAACGAACAGAGAACACGCTTCAAAGCGTTAAAAGACTGCAGGTAACCTCAAAGGCTATCCCTCGTACACATGAATAAGAATGAAGGCAAATTGTATATCAAGAAACCAGTAATAAACTGAAGAGTTGCTTAAATATTATGCAAAACAAGATCCAGATCTTGTATAAAAACAAATAACAGATAATAACAAAATGCCAAAGCCTAAAAGAAAGTTTCTACTTCCGTGAATTAAATCCAATCTGGACAAAAATAAAGCATAACTTATTGGCTATGAGATTCAATGCATGATTAGATTAGACCACGGGAAAGAAGGGTATGAGTACACTGTATGCTTATACCCAAAATAGGGAGCAGCAGCTGACTAGCTGGTAATTTTACACGAAATCTAAATCACCAAAGAACAGGGCATCATAGGCCAGGTTTTACCATTATAAATTTCCTCTCCAAATTTCCCAGATAGTTATTGATCATCATGAAATTGAAAGATCAAGCAATAACATATTGGTTATCCTGAGAGACTAAGATTTCTAATTAAATAAAATGTAAACTCATGCCAAATTGCTAAGCAACTAAACCAGAAGATCATGGTTTCCATCTTAAAGAATAAAAGAAAGAAAAATGAAAAAAAAAAAGAGGCAATTAATACCTTTTCTTCTCTTCTTCTTTTCCTCTGTTTTTCAATGGCAGTTTTGCGCTCTACCAAACCAAGACTCGAACTGGAAGATCTACGAGTAGGAGACAATGAGGAACTCTTACTTCTGTGTCTTCTGTATCGTTTTGGAGTCGGAGACGACTTTTATGACGTCTTGGAGTTATAGAACGGCTTCTGTGACGTCGTGGGGAACTAGAACGACTTTTCCCCTGTATGATGATGCAGATGATCTTAAGCAACAAGCCACAGTCCATGGCAACTACTAAACGTCATTTAGGGGTATATATAAAGCCTGCCCACCATCTAGCGCACTAAATACAGAGTTACCTCATAAATTGCTAAGAAAAACCAGTGTGCTCCATCTTTTATCACATGAAGAAGCATATGTCACATTTGGGCAATGAAAGGACACTCATCAGCATCCATCACCTGCTCCCTTCCCGAGTTATGGGAAGAAACTGAGCTTAAATTTTACTATGAACAATATACATCCTATCATGTTATATGTTATTTCCTACGTATTATTGATCCATTTCCACTTCCATGTACAAATACAAAATACCCCAGAGGAAACAAATCCATCAAAAGCCATGCAACATAAGCAACACCATCACCAGACCATGATAAGATCGCCAATACTTGAATAATGGCAATATCAATCATCCAGCATTAGCATGCATCTCATTGAGTCTCTCAAGGAGCTAAACAGAAGATGAGAATCCGAACAGCAGAATGTCACACATGCAGAACTAATCATGACTGCCCATAACCATCTACTCCATCACGTGCAACAAAGAAATCAAATCATGAGTAATAACTATCATTAAATATTAAATTCAAATTAAATTTCATCAATAATTAGCATAGTGAACTGCAAATCTCATCTTTGACCTACAGTTGTTCGTCACATAAATACACTACCCACTTACCCTGCAGTTCTGAAAGTATCATCCATTTTTCTGAAGAAAATGGTCAATTTCAACAAACATTCCGATAAAGAATCAAATTTTCCGACTCCTTTTGACCTAAATTCTAAATAAAGGAATCAACTTATTGGAATGTGTCAAATGTCTTCAAAACCCACTGTTTTCTATTTTAAGCTGCCTTAATGCTTAATCATGACTCCATTTATGCTTGTGGGAACTAATGCAATCAGCAAACCCTGACAACTTGAGTCCAAAAGTATTTGATAATTCCAAATTTTGTATAATTCCCTTAGTATGTGCAAGGGACATCAAAACCTGAAAGAAAATCTAACATCTTTCTGCATCAGACCAGGGATAGAAAAAAAGGTTAAGATGCGTACAGATAAACTCCGACACTTTGCGAATACAAATGACATCAAAATGAGCCCCCACTCTTTCCGACTTGAAACAATGGATATTAGCATAAGGAAAGCAAAAATACAAACGGGATCACCTGCTGTAAGAGTAGGAAGAATATGGAGATCGGCTTCTGTCTCTTCTGCTCCTCCTGCTATGCCTGTGTCCGACTGGGGATGGTGAATGTCTTCGCCTATAAGATGGTGATCGGGATCGGGATAAGTCTCGAGGCATCTTCTAACAATGCACTTCGGTATGCCAGATATTTCTCAATCTTGAGCTTTAATACAATGATAAAATGGTTTCCCTGTGATAAAGAAATACAGACACAAATAGAACAGGTTATCAAAGAGAACAAAACATTGGCCAAAAAAAACAGAGAGAACAAGAAGATTTCCAACTGCAGGGTCATCAAACAGAGTAAAGAAAGTGAAACGGATAATCGATACCCTAAGCATATGAAACGTCAATAGTTAAATTGTGGCGAACAGAAGAAAGCCAATTAATGCAAACCAATAAATGGAGTGTCATTTTCTGTATTGTTCATATGTGCAAATAAACAATAAGCAGTATTTAAAAAAGAAAAAAAAAATGCAACGTTTCACCTGAAAATCCCAGAGAAATCTCAAATAAAGCAATCAATATCTGTACGTTCAGAAGTTGAGGAAGAAATCCAGTTGCATTCAAGTTCCACCCAATCAAGTAAACGATGAGATAATTTCAACCTAAAAAATCAGATTTAATCGATAAACTATTGTGATTAAATGATATTATTAATCTCGGTTAATTCATCAATTTGACTTTCTTGAAGTTCACTGATATCTTCGGAAAACAAACGGACCGCGTACAGATAACGTTAGACACAGTTGAAGTTCCAAAATCCAACAGGGAGAGAATTTAGTGGATTTACCAGCTGAAGCAAATTGAAAGATATAAGGTTGCCGATCTTTGCATAGATAGCAATCGGAAACCCAGGGAACAAACTCGCGAGGCACGGAATAAAACAACGAATCGAGATATTTTGGTGTATCCTCGGACAGAACAAAAAAAAATCGGAAAGTCGTATTACGTTGGCCTCCGAGGCCGCTAGGTTTGAACCTTTGAGAATACCTTGTACCCCCACACAGTGATAATAAAGCAAGGGATTATGTGTAACTCTCCCGAGTCCAAACCCAACGCCATTCAAATTGGAGGAAGATGAAGATGGACAGATTGCAGGAATTGGCCCTAACCAAATTTCCGGGTGATTGTTTAATCCTCTTTCCTTTAAACGCGTCGTGCACGTGCAGGGGGACAAAAATATGCGCCAAGCCAAGAAAATATTCATTCCTTAATGAGACGTTGAACTTAAATATGGCTAAACCAATTAAATCTCTAAATTCGGTTATAATCTCTTAAAAGTTTAAAATTTAATCTAATTTAATCTTTCGTGTTAATTCTAAATACTATCTCTTATAAATTAAATTTGAGTAGGTTAAAAAAAACTAATATAAAATAGTTGATTCTTATAATTATATTATCCTGGGTTAATATAAACTTTGGTTTTCAAATTATCATCATTTTGGTTTTGGTCCTTTAATTCCTTAAGTTTCAAATTATAAACTTTTAGTAAATCAGTTTATTACTCATTTAAAATATTAGTTGCTATAATCAATAAGAAGTTAGGATTATTTGCACTTGAGAGACCAAACTAAAATGAGGATAAACTTTAATTTATCAAAGATTATATTAATCCTTTATTAAAATACTATTTTAAATTATTTGTATTAAAATTATCTTTGATATAATTTTTTTTTGGGCATGTACAATTAATATGTATAGTTTGAAGAAAAAAATTAAACTCCTTGTGATTACTTTTACCATTAATCACCGACATTTAACATGGTTTAAAAAAACTTTAAAGATATAATGTACAAAGTCTTCCAGCTTGAATTCAATGTTAGTTGCAAAAAACCTATTAATATTTCAAGATTTAAACTTAATCTCTTTAAAATTTTTATTAGACTCTCTATCCTTACATTTTTTTTTCTTATCTAATACCTTTCAAAGTGATCTTTTGCTTTTATGTGACTGGAGGATCTTATTATCTTTTATATATTTTTTCCAGTTTAAAATGTAAGATCTATCTTATAATATAATTTGGAAAAAAGACAGAAAAAAGACAAATAAATTTCATAATGTCAAAAAAGTCTACTGAATTTGAAAAATCCCAATTTGCTCTCAAGAGACTAATTTGACATTTATAAGTTTGCTAAAATGATCATATTACCCTTCATTTTATTTATGGTTTTTAAAATACCAAAACCTCTACTAGCCGGCCGGTTGACGAAAGCTCCGAGGAGGTTGTCACCGGAGCTCCACCGGTTAGAAACAGTTTTTTAAAAAAAATTTTATAACTTCAGTATAATAGTTAACAACTTTTATAATGCTATTAACAATTTCAATATAGCAGTTAATAATAGGTTTTTTTGGAAATTCAACAAGTTCTGGCAGTTGGAAACAATTTTTTTCAAAAATTTTTACAACTTTAAATAACAATTAACAACTTTTGTAACGCTATTAACAATTTCAATATAACAGTTAATAACAGGTTTTCGGGAAATTCAACAATTGGTCGCTGGAGCTCCTCCAGCCAAAAATAATTTTTTGAAAAATTTTATAATTTCAGTATAATGGTTAAAACTTTTATAATACTATTAACAACTTCAATATAACGGTTAACAATAGGCTTTTGAGTTTGTTAACGACATTACAGAAGTTGTAAAAATACTATTTTTGAATTTTTCGAAAAACCTGTTGTTAACTGCTATATCGAAATTGTTAATAACGTTACAAAAGTTGTTAATCATTATACTGAAATTATAAAAAATTAAAAAAAAAAAAAAGTAGTCATGAAAGTTATAAAAATGCAATTTTTTTAATTTTTAAGAATATCTGTTGTTAAATGCTATACAAAATTGTAATAAAGTTATGAAACTTGTTAACGGCATTACTGAAGTTGTAAAAATACTACTTTTTAAATTTTTAGAAAATTTGTTATTAACTGTTATATTGAAGCTATTAATAACATTACAAAAGTTGTTAACCGTTATACTAGAGTGAAAAAATTTTTTTAAAAAAAAACAGTAGTGCTAAAGTTGCAAAAATGCCATTTTTTTAATATTTAAGAAAACATGTTGTTAAATGCTATATCGAAATTGTTAACAGGGTTACGAAACTTGTTGACGGTATTATTAAAGTTGTAAAAATGCTACCTTTGAATTTCTCGAAAAAACCTGTTGTTAATAGCGTTACAAAAGTTGTTAACTGTTATATTGAAGTTGTAAAAATTTTCAAAAAAATTGTTTTCGGCCATCGAAACTCTAACGACCAATTGTTGAATTTCTCAAAAAATCTGTTGTTAATTATTATACTGAATTGTTAATAGTGTTACAAAAGTTGTTAACTGTTATACTGAAATTATAAAATTTTCAAAAAAATTGTTTTCGGCTATCAGAGCTTATTGAATTTCCCAGAAACCTGTTTTTAACTGCTATACTGAATTGTTAATAGCGTTACAAAAATGTTAGTTGTTATAATGAAGTTATAAAAATTAAAAAAAAACTGTTTCCAACCAGCGGAACTCCGGTGGTGATTGCCGCCGCCAGAGTTTTGACGACTAGCCAGCTAGTGGGGGCTTTGGTATTTTAAAAACAATAAATAAATGAAGGGCAATATGGTGATTTTAGCAAACTTATAAATGCCAAATAATCTCTTGAGACTAAATGATATTTCTCAAATTCAGCAGACTTTTTAGCATTATGAAGTTTATTTGTCATTTTTCTATCTTTTTCCCATATAATTTTATATATAAAATAAGACTTACATTTAGAAGACTCAAAATGTATACTCCTCCTGTCCTTAATATAAGACATATTTAACTAATTTGATGAGATTAAAGAAGCTAGATAAGTTAGTTAATTATAAAAAAATGACATGTTTCTTCCATAATTATCTTCCTAAATCTTCTCCCCCTCCCTCTTCTATTTGATTATAGCTGAAGGAGTATTACATGGATAATTTAGAAAAATTGATAAATATGATAAGTAGGTCTTATATTTAATATCAAAATCACTTATAATTAAATTTTATATTAAGGATTGGAACTTAATAATTAAATTTTATATTAAGGATTGGAGCCTAGAGGTGTATTTTTCTTGGAAAAATTGAGCAACAACGGCTGGCGGACATCAAAGCTTCATTGCCGTCAGCTAGAGAACTTTTGGTAAAAAATGGCGAAAGTGATATTTGATCCGGCTGCCATTTGGTGAAACTGTATCTTTGACAAGCACTTAATATGTGTGACCGCTAAATAATTAAACTCTAATTATTTTCAGTACTTATTCATAGCATTTTTAATACTCTTCTATAAAATTTTAGATATTCATCCTTAATATTTTTTATACTCATATTTTTAGCATTGATTCTTAATTTTTTTAGTCATAAAATGACTGAATTAAAAATACATACTAAAAAGAGGAAGTTAAGTATTACTCTCCCGTCTTTTTTTTATAAGCAACAATTATCATTTTCTTTTTGTTTTTAAATATAAACAATATTTACAAGTTGTCTTGATTTTTTATGCCAAGTTTCTTATTTTATCCTATTAATTATCTATTTTAATACTCAATATATTTATTTATTTTATTTCTGAAACTATTATTTCTCTCCATTGCACATTCTCTTTTTCCTAATTTTTTTATTATAATAGTAGTAATTTTTTTATCTCTTTCTATACTTTTTCTTTCATAAAATAAGAGTATTTTGAAAAAAAATTTCAATTTTCACATTATATATTATTTTAATAAATTTTAACTAACTTTTTAATTTATGTGATAGAGTTTAAAGTTATTTATAAAAAAGGGCGAAGGGAACATAGATATCCAAATAATGAGCATTACAAATATTTTAAACAAAAAATAAATATGAGTAATAAAAAGATTGACGCAGACAACTTTAATTATAATAATTAATGCCCTTGGAGTGATTTTGTCCATTTCCTATCATCCGTCGGCCTAGTCCCACATTACAGCCATTTCTTGCCACGTCATCACTTGTGCTGAGATGTCAAGCTCCCATTGGTATGAAAAAGAGCACAAATCGAAGGGATAAATTATGCTCCTCTTGTCCTGATTAGGGGTCTGGATCCTCTCATAAGCTTTTTTTCTCTTTATCTTTTCAAAATCTCATCACAACCATTAGATTAAATAATAAATGGTTCGGATTTAATATTTTAAAAAGTAGATGTCTACTTTCCTCTCCTATTTATGTAATGTTATACTAATAATTTTGTAACGCATAAAATTTGAACCATTTTACCCAATACTCCTGGCCTAGTGGTGACTGGCTAGGCCACAAGTGAGGCGAGTCTCTGCTCTTTGAGGGTGGGGGTTCGAATCCTCACTTGTTAAAAAGAGTACCAGGAAGGGTTTACTTGTCGCCCGGCCCGAATCGGACTGTCGATCGCTCGGGTACAACTAGCCCAAAGAGGCTGGGGCCAGAAAAGGCGCGGTTGGATACGGATGGTTTATACCAAAAAAAAATCTGAACCATTTATTATTGATCAAATGGTAGAGATAAGATTCTAATAAGAAAGAGAAAAAGGATTCGAAAATATCTCCTCTCCCTAGTTATAGGATAGAGAAAGAAGACATTTGGTGAGGGGAAAAAGCAAGAGCGAGATGAGCGAGCAAGGAATGCGATCAATGTTAAGGAACCATCACAGGCGAGGAAGGATTCTACGAAAGAGGAAGAGGATATAATGGTGAGAAGCGTCAAGAAGCTTAACAGAGAGGAGGAGGGAGCACAGCTAAACCCTCCGCGCAAGCAAGAAGCAGAGGGAAATGGTGTAGCGATGGAGGATGTGGAAAAACCCGAAGGAAGCGAGGCCAACCGAAACCATCAAGGCCCTACCGTAACTCCAATTTCTTACAAAACAATGCTAGTGGGCCATAAGGAACAGGCTTTGAATCAAGACTACGAGCAACAATTGAAGGAATGGCTTAGAGAAGAGGAAGAAATGGCCCCACCGCTGACGGAAGAGGAGAAGATTCTAATCAAGAACTTGTCGAAGCTGAATTTGTCAGATGAAAGACTAAAGGAGCTATGTAGACCATGGAAAAATGCTCTGATTCTCAAGATTTTGGGCAGAAAAGCTAACCGAG